AGGATGTCTGACTGCAGCTTAGGTCTGCTCCCTGCTGGTAAGTGGACATCCCCCGAGGGCTGCTGGGCTGTGAGAGGGATGTCTGACTGCCAGCTTGGGCCCGATCCCCCAGGGAGCGGGCGTAAGCCAGCAGGTGGACATCCTCCGAGGGGTCCCAGACTGCAAGAGGGCATAGGCCGGGCTAAGGGACCCCCCCCGCAGTGCACAAATTTTTGTGTACCGGGCCTCTAGTGAGTTTATAAAAATAGAAAAAATTTGAAATACTAATTTTAATTCAATAATTAAAACTCTGAATAATGAAATGGCTTAGTCTTACATTAAAATTTATTTTTGAGCCCTAGCTGGTTTGGCTTAGTGGATAGAGCGTCGGCCTGCAGACTGAAGGGCCCAGGGTTCGATTCCAGTCAAGGGCACATGCCTGGGTTGCTGGCTCAGTCCCCAGTGGGGGGCCTGCAGGAGGAAGCCAATCAACAATTCCCTCTCATCGTTGATGTTTCTATCTCTCTCTTCCTCTCCCTTCCTCTGAAATAAATAAAAATATATTTAAAAAATATATATTTGAGCTCTAGCTGCTTTCTCAATGGTTAGAGCATTGGCCCTTGGCCTGAAGGGTCGTGAGTTCAGTTCTGGTCAAGGGCACGTACCTTGGTTGCAGGCTCCATCCCGCCCTGGTTGGGGCACGTGTGGAAGGCAACCAATCGTTGTGTCTATCTCACATCAATGTTTCTGTCTCTCTCCTCCCTTCCATGCTCCCTAAAAATCAATGAGAAAAATATATCGAGTGAGGATTAACAAAAAATAAAAATAAATTATTTTTGAAAAACTGATTTTCTAAAGCCCTAAAGGTATACAGTACATTTTATTTTATTTTTATTTTTAAAAAAATATTTTTATTGATTTCAGAGAGGAAGGGAGGAGAGATAGATAGAAACATCAACAATGAGAGAGAATCACTGATTGGCTGCCTCCTGCACGCCCCCTACTGGGGATCGAGCCTGCAACCGGCATGTGCCCTTGGCTGGAATCAAACCTGGGACCCTTCAGTCCTCAGGCTGATCCTCTTACCCATTGAGCCAAACCAGTTAGGGCTACAGTCTATATTAATAAATCACTGAATGAAGTGGTTTAAACTACATTGAATTTTTGTTTTTAAAATAAACTTTTAAACATTTCCAGAAAAACAAATAATTCATTATGCAATTTCAAAAAACTGGCTAATTTTTAACATAAAAAACGAATCATAAGTAATCAAGAAGAAATAATAGAGAATATTAACAAAATAAATTATGTGCTATTTGGGAACACCTAATATCATATAAGGACAATAATAAGAAAAATAAAGATAATAATAACATACCTTTTAGTTTAGCAGAAAAATTAGGAAGAAGAAATTCAAAGAAACTATTTTGTGTGCACACACAAATGTCATGATATAGAAATCATGACTAAGTAGCGATTGATCTCCCTGGGCTGGATGTCTGGGAAGGCCTGACAGGGGCCCTCGGGATAGCCACAGAGAATCTTCCGGGCTTACCAGAAAAAGAATCCCCAAGTTCAGAAAGTTTGTGGAGGGAGCTATGTAAATAGTACTAAAAAATACCGTTAGCACCCTAGCCGGGTTGCTCAGTGGGTAGAGCATCAGCCTGTGGACTGAAGGGTCCTGGGTTCCATTGCGGTCAAGGGCAGGTAGGTCAGTTGTAGGCTCAATCCCCAGCCCTCATTGGGGTGCATGTGGGAGACAACCAATTGATGTGTCTCTCTCACATCGATCTTTCTCTGTCTCTCCCCTTCCCTTCCACTCTCTCTAAAAATCAAAGAAAAAAAAATCCTCAGGTGAGGATTAACAAAACAACAACAAAAACTTTTAGCTACTTCTGAAAAGCTATGTTTTTAAAAGGCCTTCAACATTCTGGTGATAAAGCACTGACAAGCATAGTGGGGTGCAGCCTCCAGGGTCCCATTTGGTGATAAGCCTGGAGGGAAGAGCCCCCGGAGGTTCCTCCGGTTGAAGAGACCAAACTTGGACTATGTAATGAGACCGTGTTTAATAACACCAAAATACAAGCGAGGGCTGTAGGGGCTCAGAGGAAGGGGGAGTAGCGAGGGCTGCAGTGATCTGGGGTGGTGGGTCAGCAGTGACACCGCTTCCCAGCACCTTTCCCCTCACAGCCTTTCAACAGTCCTGGAGGGACAGCAGAGCAGGATTGGTCCCATTTTACAGTTGGGGAAACTGAGTTCCAAATAAGTTCATTGGCTTGTCCAAAGCCACACGGGGTTCCTGGTCCTTTCTTCAGTCCCACTGTGGTCTGGCCAGAGGAGTTTGAGTAGGTGGACACCACAAGAAGAGCAAGCACAGTGTACAGACGGGCAGAGATGTGGTATGTAGGAACACTGAGGGGTGGGGTGGGGCTGGCTGGAGGACAGTAATCCTTGGCACCTGCAGCCCAGGCTGCTGCAGCACAGTCACTTGGGTGTCTGCTTCTCCCCTCTTCCCTCCTGGGTGCCCAGGCCCTCAGGACCAGCTGAGGGAGGTCATAGGGCAAGAGGGCTGCTCCTTGCAGTGTTCATTGGTCAAGCTTCACTTGGCACCTACTGTGCATGAGTCCAGTGCAGAACCAGGCAGGGCAGGGTGGAAGAGGAAAGGTGGCAGCACAAGGAAGTCACACTATGTAGCCGATCACAGTGCTGTGAGAGGGATGCAGAGGGAACACACATGCCATGCAGAGGGGCTCACATTGAAGGTGCCGTGAGGGCAGGGAGTTAGGGAGGGTGCAGACCTGGCACACAGACTTGTGGGGAGGACTGGATGAGACAAGCACGACATGCTGAGGAGTCTGGATGGGATTCTGGGAACCAGGTCACTGCAGCGACATAGAGGAGATATGGGGCCACCACAGAGACTGCAGGAGAGCTTAGGAGGTTCTGACTGTGAGGAAGAGAACTGGAGAAGGCTCCGTGGGTTCAGGCTTCTCCAGGCAGGCCCCTGGAAACGGAGCTGGCTGGTTTGAGGTCAGAGGGCCCTCCCCTAGCCATCTTGGGAGGCCTCTCCAAGTGTGAGTACATAGTGAGGCCCCGAAGAAGCTTCAGACTCTGCAGAAACACAAGAATATATGATGTCCATTCTGGTCCTTCATCCCACTGGCCCTTAGCCCTCCCTTGGGAGGAGCCCAGAGCTCAGCATAGATCCTGCCTTCCCCAACCTCTTTCACCTTATGGCTAACTGTCCAAGAGGCAGCCCCAGGAGGCCAGCATGGGAAGGAGAAAACTGGGTTAGAAGCCCCAGGCAGATGCTCCTGCCAAGAAAGTCCCCAGGGCACCTGTGTCCTCTCAGGACCAACACACCTCTGGAGAGCTAGAGCAGCAGGGCAGGCAGGAGGCTGCAGAGCCTTGCACAGAAGCCATGCAAAGAGGCACCAGCAGGGGGTGCCACAGACCCACACTTGGCAGCCAGTTCCTTTTGCCTTTCTAGTTCTGTCTCCACCATGAAGGGATTAAGGATCAGGGGCTGCAAGTGGGGGATGGCCCCACAGAGGAGAGCCAGGACCTGAGACCAAGGTGGAGGCAGTAGAAAGTCTGAGCAGGTCCTAGCAGAGTCAGGTACCCCTGCCCAGCCCAGCATCAGGGCCCCAGCTGTACCCCAATGCTGCCTATGCATGTGGTGAGGGGATCTTCATTCACTGCCTCTTCCCTAGAGAGCCCGCCCCACCCCACTGCCCCCCATCCCACAGTGGCAGCTCGGTCACCATCAGCACAGGCCTGTCAGCAGGTGTCGGGGTCCTGGAAGCCCCAGGCCTCCACAGCAGCGATGAGGAAGTTCTCAGAGCAGAGGGGCTGGTTGTTGAAAGTGTCGCAGTGGCCCGTGCGGCCCCGATTCAGGTCCCCATCGATGTAGAGGGCCTGGCCGCCCCCTCCACCTGCAGGATGCTCAGTCAGTGGCTGCCCCTCTGTCTGGTACTGCCCTGGAGGTGCTCTCCTCCTGCCCCTGAGCATCTCCACTTGTCCCTGCCCCAGCCTTGCTAGAGGCGTAAAACCACAGGGCCGACCTTCAACCCTCCAAAGCCTGCCAGCCCTCAGCCGGGGTCCAAATTCTAGGCTAGAGTCCACTTCCCAGCTGGTTTACCCAGAATACCTGCCCCTACTCCCGCTCCTCATGCCTGCTTTCTTCCTCTGCCATCACGGGGGCTCTGCCTGTCCTTCAGGTGAGGCACCTGCATCTGAGTCAGCAATGACTGACCCAGGGGCTTTGGCCACCCATGACCCTGTACCCTTCTCCAAGGCTAAGTGAGACACCCACCTATGATGAGGCAGTCACTGCCCCCAGCCATGAACATGGACTCAGTCTTGGAGGGCAGATTGAAGTGCCGAGTGGCCAGGAACGGTGAGAGGCGGTCAGCAGGATCTGAGGATGTGGATGTGGACAAGGACACGGAGTGGCAGTGCCGGGACGGAGTGGCAGAGGTCTCCAAGGAGACTGGCTTAGTCAGCTCTGGGTGTTTGATGACCACCCACTCATAGCGCTGGACCTCCGGCTGCAACTGAAGATGAAAGGGCAGTATGAGAAGCTGGCACACTATGCCCTGCAGGGCCCTTCCGGCCACTTTCCTCCCACAAATCTTCATTGAAGAGCTCTGTGTATGAGGCCTCCTGCCAGGGCTGAGGAGACGGTGCCACACAAGGCAGGTAAGGGCCTGCCTGCTCTCATGGATCTCACGGTCTAATGATCACAAACCAGAAGAACACGGGAGGTTCTCCTGCAGGGTAACGGCTATAACAAAAGTAAACAGGGCCAGGTGAGCAGGGTTGACAGGGGTGCTGGGCCTGTTGATCTTAGAGCACCTGCAGGGAAACCCACTTACCCTAAACACAAAGCATTCTCCGGTCCCAAAGAAGCCCAGTTTGCCTCCAAACTTATTTCTCTCGCTCCAGTCTGTTGACAGGTAAGCTCCACACACCTGGGGAGAAAGGCCCAAGGTGAGGCTGTACCGTGCTGGCCTGCAAGAGCATCCCTTTGCTTAAGGCCTCCTCGGGGCCACGGTACCATCACAGCTTTGTCACTGAACCCTCACTCCCACTTGAGGGCAAGAGCCGAAGCAGGTGAAGAGAGGTGTGGGAAGTCAGAGTTTGGAGGGCGTGGGGTTAGCAGTGAGAGTGGGAGTGGAGGGGTGGCTGCCATCAGCTCGTTTGGGATATTTTCATTTTGCTTCCCTCCTTGGCCCTCAAGCATGGGAATAGCCCCATGTCCACATTCTGTTGTTGGGCATCAGCCCCAAGGAGGCCCCTCAGATGAGAGCTTCCAGGAGGTACGCCTGCTCAACAACATTCTCCAACCCCCTGTCAGCCAGCAAAGCGCTTGATTTCACCATTGAAGTCAGGGTTTTCCCCAAGTGTCTGACAATCAGTCACCTGCTATGATACAGATGCCCAGGTTCCTCCTGGAAACCCAGACAGAGTCTGGAATGGGATGAGGAACCTAAAACTCCCATGGGTGCAGGTTTGGGAGCCACTTGAACCAGAAGCTTCTACCACTCTAGCCGGTTTTGCTCAGTGGATAGAGCGTCAGCCTGCGGACCAAAGGGTCCCAGGTTCAATTCCGGTCAAGGGCACATGCCTGGTTTGCGGGCTCAATCCCCAGTAGAGGGTGTGCAGGAGGCAGTCAATCAATGATTCTCTGTCATCATTAATGTTTCTATCTCTCTCTCCCTCTCTCTTCTTCTCTGAAATCAATAAAAATATATATTAAAAAAAAGAAGAAACTCAAGTGAAATGTTTAAAAAAAAAAAAAGCCTCTACCACTGGCAGACACTCCCAGGATGGGGGCACATGAGCGCTGACCTCCCTAGTCTTGGTGACTTTCCAGGGGACAGATACTGTAGCAGAAAGGGCCCTGAGAACTACCTGTTAGGGGGTGAAGGCAGGTGAAGGCAGCTGACACACCTGGTGCTGGCCCACTGTGGTGGGAGGAGGCTGGGCCTCGCTTACTGAGCATTTCTGCAATGGTCCTCCTAAGTAGCCAGGCTGTGTCAGCAGGGCCTGGGCCCTCAGGGGAAACAAGGAGGCCCTGGGCACTTGGGGTCAATAGGGAGGCTAGATTCACTTCATTGTGGAGGGTGGCTCTGCTCTGTGCCCCTAAGTGCGGGAATGCTGGGTGGAGGCTGCAGGGGCACAGGAGCAGCAGAGTACCCCAAACTCAGAGGCCAGAACCCCAGGCTCCCTCTGGTCCCTGCTCACCTCCTTTTGTGTGGTCTTAATGAGCAGGAGGGTGGGCTCGTGTCCTTCACACTGGAAATAGAACCTGGGGGAAGAGACCACACGTGCCAGTCCTGATGGGAAGCAGTTCTCCTGAACTCCTTCCCACACCACCTCTAGCCAGCTTTGCTGACAGCACTCACAGCGCCTGGGAAACCTGGACTGCTAGGGGCAGACGGGCCCAGGACTGCATTTCCTTATCTCCTGGGGACCAGGCACTGTGGCCAAGGACCTAGCAACACTCTGGACTGGGGACTCTTCTAAGCCAAGGGGGAGCTCCCCCAGGGTCTGCAGGGTGAGCAGTCAGCTGCCCCAGGACTGTCTGCCCTGGTGTGAAGCATGGCAAATCGCTCCCAGCAGGCAGAGCTGTGTGCCAGGTGCTTCAGAGAAGCAAAAACAAGAGGAACAGGTCCCTGCTCTAGGAAAGCTCAGAGTCCAAGCATGTGGGAGCTGTTGGCACTGGGAAGCATGTGAGGAAGCCTGAGGTTGCCACTGTGGTGGCTCCAGGTGCCCAGTGCTTGGCTGGCAGCCCTGGCAGCTCCATTTAGCTGTCCCTCAGTCACACAGAGGTTGGGGCTGGGCGAATGTAGCTCTGGCTGTGCCATAATGCTCATGGGGCTACAGACAGTCCCCGCCACATGGGCTGGGCCAACTCTGCCTGTGTTGCCTCTGCTGGGTCACCTGTGACCCAAGCCAGAGCGTCTGAGGCTCAAGGGGGTGCTGAACCTGACAGAGCTGCCAGGGAGGCAGTGTGCCCTGGGGAGTCCAGCACAGCCCCAGCCCCATAGGGCCAACCTGTTCCTGGCTTGTGGACTGACAGAGTGGGGGTGGGGAGTACTGAACCACACAGCCTGTTGCCTTGAGTAGTCCTCTCTTATAGTTCTGTAAGTTCCCATGTCATCACCATGCCTACATGAGGACATGGAGCTGTGGCGTGTATGGTAATGACCGACCCCTGAATTTGGGTGGCTTGGGAATGAGAGAAGCCCAGAAAAGGGCTTCCCAATTCTAGGGCCCCAAGAAGAGGCAGGGCCTCACCCAGGTGCCAAGGTTCACAGGCCCATTTTCAGTGTGACTTCCTGGAAGCACAGATAGAACCAGAGCTGGACAACTTCACCACTCCCTCTGCCCCTCCAGCACCACCTGACTCTTAGAGTCCATGCCTCGGGGCCTCGGAGGGCAGGCCTAGCCTCCCCAGTCTCCCGGCATTACCTAGTCAAGCTGTACCCATGCTGCAGTGAGGAGAAGAGCAGGAGGGGCTGACAGAGGGCGAATCGCTCAGGGATCCAGGACCAGATATCTCTCATCTCCTTCACACTGACAATCTCCGAGTGAAAGTTCTCCGCATGAACAGCCAGGTGCACAAACTGCCTGGGGAGAGCCAGGAGAGACTCAGCGCACACCTGCAACCCCAGGCCTGACCATACCCCCTACCCTGGGGGTGTGCATTGGATCTCTTGAAAGCTAAGCCTGGAGGGAACTTCTCACCTGTTCAGCCAGGTTAAAGCCTGGTCCAAGGTACCCTCAGGAAGAAACAGGGTGGAGCTGTCCCCTGGAGCCCCACTCCCATCCCCTCCTTACTAAGAGGGGAGAGCGCCCAGCCCAGACAAGGACAAAAGCACCTTTTCTCTAAGAAATGGGGACAGAAAGTGAGTCAGCTCTGGCAAGACAATGCTCAAGGCCAGCCAAGCACGAACAGAGAGCACAGCTGAGGAAACTAAGCAAACAGACAGACAGACAGACAGAAGAACAAACAGATGGTTCCTGAACATCAGTCAGGCTCCAAGGCAGCACTGCAGAAGCAAGCCCTGAGAGCCAGCACAAGCAGCCAGACCCTGGGATAGCCAGGTCAGAAGACAGAGAGAATCCAGGCATGGAGATGTGGTTTCCAGACCTACCTTTTAGAAAGTGAAACACTGAAAAACAGGAGGAAGCAACGGACATGGAGAAGAAGAAGAAAAATAAAACAGACAAGGAGAGGTTAGTAGTAAGTACTGATGTCTAGGACATGTCTGCCTTTGGCCTGGAAGAAAGGCCTTCACACCTACAGTCATGTCATCTGCCACCAAGACAGTATCAAGACACCGTGGGCCTTTCCCATCCCTGCTCCCCACAGGTCTGAGTTCAGGGCAGGGGGCATGTCCAGCAGCAAGTGAGCCCAGAGCTGGAGGGGTAGAAGAGGGGCCGCAAAAAAAAAAAAAAAAAAAGAAAAAAAAGAAAAGAAATGACCAGAGGCAGCCAGTCTGGCCCACTCTTTGGTCTTCTGACCACATGGTCAACACCCAGCTTTCATCTCCGCCTTAGGCCTCAGGCCTGAGGACAGTAACCGTGTCTTTCATTCCCACAGCTGCCTCAGCAGCCTATGGCTGTAACCAGGAAAGTCCTCTCTCTTTTCCTGTCATTTCCTATCCATGTACAGGAGGCTGTCTGGCAGTAGGCAGACCAAGAGGCTGGCAGGACAAGCTCATGCCTAAGTCCCCAGAATGTATTCCACCAAAGCCCCACCCTAAGTGGGCCCCTAGCAGCCTGCCCAGAGGCCAGCCTACCTCTTCTGCTTGACGGTGATACCCCTCTGCTTCAGAGCTTTCTCATTGGCCATCTGCAGAAGCTGAATCTCCTTCCGAGAGAAGAGGCGGATGGCGAATGCTTTCTCCAGCAGCTTCTCAGGAGACACGGTCTTGGCGATGTCCTTGACGAAGGTGCGGATGTCCTGCTTCACGTTATCTGACTCAAGCGGCTGTCCAGCTCTCACCTTGTGAAAGAACTTGAGGATTGCCAATGCCACGCGGTATAGCACCTTGTAACCTTCCACCAGAAAAACATCAAAGACACGAGCGAAGTAGCTGAGGGGAAGCTCCCCAAACAGCCAGCGCTGCCAGTCCGCATAGACCTGCAGGACATCCTCCGACACGGCCACCATCAGCTTGTGGGCTGCCTGACAGTACTTGTTCACCAGGTCCCCAAATGTCATGCAGGAAGACTCAAAGGCCAGAAAGCTCTGATCGATCAGCTTCTTGCTGGGGTCATTGCAGGCCAAGATGCGGCAGGCCTTCTCAAAGCACTCAGCTTCATCGATGCTGTAGTGCAGCAGCAGGGCTACGACCGCAGGCAGGGCGGGGCAGAAGGAGATGTCAGGGAACTGGTTGGCAATGCACAGCAGAATCTTCCGAACAGCACCCTCACCCCGTGTGTTCAGGCAGTAGCTGGGCACTTGCGTGTTGTCCACAAACTCAGGCAAGGGCAGGGTGCTGCTGCTGTGCTTGCCCACGATCTTGCCCACAATGTCACTGTACACGCTGGCATCGGGAGTGACTGTGCGGCAGGGAATGTCCCGGATCAGGCGCTGGTACACCTTCCCCCGCAGAGCATGGCTGTGGGCCCAGTAACCCTGGCGGGCCAGCTGCTTCAGTTCTTGCAGCTCGGTGCAGCTCAGTTCCTTGGGTCCCAGGTCCTGGATGGCAGTGTCCATCTTGTCTCTGTCCACAAAGCAGTTGTACCCCTGGGAGTCCATAGTGCAGGCTGTACCCGGGAGGAGGGCCCTGGGCTGCCAGGAAGGGGCAAAGAGCAGCTAAATCTTCCAGCCACCTCTGGAGGCTTTTCTGCTAACCTGTTTGCCACCCCATGCCCTGTAGGATTAAAAACCATGCTTAATACATGTGTATAAAGGTTCTCATTTTAGAGAATATGTTTTTGTTTGACTCTTTATATAAAGTATTATAAGGGCTCCATTTAAGATAGGTGGATATTCTGAGAGGTCACTATGAACTCTGGAGTGTAACTTCTTTTCATGGAGCTTATCAAGTTACTGTAATAGGTCACACAGATGATGAATATCAAGAAGCTAGAAACAAGTTCCTGGAAGGGCTTCAAAAGAGAGCCTGACAACAACTCTCAGTTAGGGATGGAAGGCCTATCAGGCTCCCACACACTACCATCCTGTGGCCTGTGGGCCTTATGAAAGGATCCACTGGTTAAGGGGACCTATTTAAGTCAAGATATGCTTTGTTTCAGTTCTCCAAGGTTTCAGGCCTTTAACCAGCTGTGTATCATGAGGAAGACACACCCTACTCTGCCCCACTGTCCCTGGGCTAGAATTCAGAGGCCAGCTCTTCACCTTCTAAACATGCTAGCTAGGCTTTAGGCAGACTAGAGAAGAAATACTAGTGAGGAGTAGACATGAGGGCTGAGAAATAAATAAAGCGGTTATAGCTTCAAAATTAGACTTTTTGATTGATTGTTAATCCAAACCCAAGGATATATATTTTTTTAATATCACTATTTTTTTATTTTCTATTGACTTCAGAGTGGAAGGGAGAGGGAGATAGAAACATCAATGATGAGAGAGAATCAATGATCAACTGCCTCCTGCATGCCCCCTACTGGGGATCGAGCCTGAAACCTGGGCATATACCCTCGACTGGAATTGAACCCGGGACCCTTCAGTCTGCAGGCCGATGCACTATCCACTGAGCCAAACCAGCTAGGTCCCAAGGATATTTTTTCCATTGATTTTTAGAGAGGGGAAGGGAAGCGGGAGGAGTGGGGAAAGAGAGGGGGAAGGAAAGCATCTATGTGAGAAAGACACATTGATTGATTGCCTCCCGACTGGGGCTGGGGATCAAACCTGCAACTCAGGTACATGACCTTGACTGGGAATTGAACCCGAGACCTCTCAGTGTGTGGGCCAATGCTCCAACTGAGTCACACCGGCCAAGGCAAAATTAGACATTTTTATATCCAAATGAACCAGAAGTATTGGGGGATTTGACACTATCTCTCCATTTGAGGCAACTATTGAAATTCAGGCAGACATTTAAAAATGGGTGAAATGTGCTATGTGAGACTCTGGCTGATAGGTCACTGCAGGTGAACAGCAAGACAGAAATCTATGTTGAGGATACCACAATTTAACAGTTTTTGCTAAAGGCTACTGTCCTTGGCCTTTACAATAGTCTGCCCATGAACCTCAAACTAACCTTTCTGCCTGTGATGGTGGAAGTGTCTGGAGATGTCACAAGGGTTTGCTTCAGTGAGTTTTGGTAAATGACCAGATCATTCCAGTTTCTCTTGAATCTAGAACATTCATCTGAAAATATAAAAAGCAAAAAATATCTTAAGAACATTGAGTGAAAAGTAAAGAATTCTAGTTTAACACCTGTATTGTGAGAAGATATCTTAAGAAAGCACCTTGATACTTTTTTTGTAGTAAAATATACATAAAAAATTTACCATTTACAAGTTTATAGTTCAGTAGCATTAAGTACATTCACATTGTTGTTTGTGCAACATCACCACCATCCATCTCCAGAACTTTTTCATCTTCCCAAACTGAAACTCTGTGCCCACTAAATGCTAACTCCTAGTTCCCCCTTCACCTGGCAACCACCATTGTAACCTCTGTCTCTAAGAATTTGACTATTCTAAATACCTCATATTAGTGGAATCATACAATATTTGTCCTTTGTGTCTGGCTTATTTCACTGATCATAATGTCCTTAAAGTTCATCTATATTTATAGCATGCTTCAAAAAATTTTTTTCAATATATTTTTATTGATTTCAGAGAGGAAGGGAGAGGGAGAGAGAGCTAGAAACATCTATGGTGAGAGAGACTCATTGATTGGCTGCCTCCTGCACACCCTCTACTGGGGATCGAGCCCACAACCCGGGCATGTACCCTTGACCAGAATCGAATCCAGGACCCTTCAGTCCACAGGCTCTATCCACTGAGCAAAATTGGCTAGGGCAACACTTTGTTTTTTAAAGCAGTTTTAGGGTCACAGCAAAATTGAGAGGAAGATACAGAGACTTCCCATATACCTCCTTCCCCCACACATGTCTAGCCTCCTCCATTATCAATATCCCCCTCCATGCCCAGGCCCATTTGGCTCAGTGAATGGAACGTTAGCCCATGAACTGAAGGGCCCGGGTTTGATTCTGGTCAAAGGCAGGTACTTTGGTGCAGGCTCGATCCCCAGCCCTGGTCAGAGTGTGTGCGGGAGACAACCAATCTATGTGTCTCTCTCACATCAATGTTTCTCTGTCTCTTTCTCTCCTCTTCCCATCCACTCTAAAAATTAATGAAAAAATATACTCAGGTCAGGATTAACAACAACAAAAATCCCCCACCATGAGTAGTACATTTGTTATAACTGATGAACCTACATTGACACATCATAATCACCCCAAATCTACAGATTAATGAAGGCTCACTCCTGGTGTTATACATTCTATATGTTTGGACACATGTAAAATGACATATACTAGTATTCTCATTACTGTATCATATGGAGTATTTTCACTGCCCCCCAAGTCCTCTGTGCTCTACCGGTTCATCCCTGTCCCTGCCCCCATTTATCAGATTTCCATTCCTTTTTATGGCTAAAAAACATTCCATTATGTGAATAGAGCACAATTTGCTTATCCATTCATCTGCTGCTAGACATTTGGGTCCTTTTTACATTTTGGCAATATAAATAATGCTGTTGTGAACATGGGTGTATAAGTATCTGTTCAAGTCCCTGTTTTCAATTCCTTTGGATATACAGTATATCCATTGATACTGTGCTTTCCCATAGAAAACATTAATTAGCCCTGACTGGTTTGGTTCAGTGGATAGAGCGTCAGCCTACGTACTCAAGGGTCCCAGGTTCGATTCTGGTCAAGGGCATGTATCTTGGTTGAGGGCACATACCCAGTGGGGAGTGTGCAGGAGGCAGCTGATCAATGTTTCTCTCTCATCGATGTTTCTAACTCTCTATCCTCCTCCCTTCCTCTCTGTAAAAAATCAATAAAATATATTTCTTAAAAAAAGAAAACATTAATTAAAATAAGTTTTTCTGACAACATCCATTTAATATATCTCACTGGAAAAGCTTCACCCACAGTAGAACCAGGCCTGCTGCCAGTGCTGGGACCTTCTTCCTCAGAAGAAAAGAAACCCAAATTGGGATTGATTTGTTTGCTCTGTTCTGGGAGAAAAGGCAGTGAGGATTTCCTTCTTCCCAGGTTCTCAAGACCAGGAAAACAGGCCCACTCACACACCTACGACCATGCCCAGGCTGCACTCCACAATCTTCCATGTGCAAATTACCTATAGCTTTTAAATCCTTCATTCTAGGCTCTGAGCCCACTAACCTTTGGAGGGACCCCAGGCCCATCCTGTTTGTGTGAAAAGAACCAGCTCCTTATCGGGGCAATAAACATGTTTATAAACAGAACAAGAGCAGGGCAGGACAGCACCAACCCTCACTCAACTGGCCTCAGATTCAGGTTGAATATTAAACTGGAAACTCCAAAAGTGATTATCGCACCTTGCAAAGTTCCTTCAGACAGGACCCACAGTTTTGTTTGTTGCTGCAAGTTGCCCAGAGACACACTGGATTCAGAGGGACTCTGAGGAAAGGCCACACCCAGGAGACCCTGAAGGAGCTCCCAGGACCCCCGTAGGCCTCCTCCCCAAGCCTCCATCCAAAAAGAGGGCATGCTGTTTCTGGGGCAAACAGGCTTGCAGTGACCTTCTTAGGCATCTATAAAACCAGGTCCAGGATGGTTTCCTTAGGTTTCTCTTTACACAAATGCATAATCATAAACAAGTCAAAGAATACACAATTACAGAGTAAAAATGTAAAATCCTGTTTATGTTTTCCCTTCATTCTTACTCCCTCTTCCACCTAAGATAATCATTCATTGCTCACGTATTATATCCTACAAAGCCTTTTCTTATATTTACACACACACATTCACAGCTGAGTTAGATTTTAAAGACTGGCTACTGAGATGGAGAACTCAGGAGGCGGGAAACAGATAAAAAACAAAACCATTCCGTTAGATACTCACACTCGGGAGTTTACGTAAGTTTTAGGGTTGAAGTGATGCGCTCTCCCTGTTATTCCACCTGCAGCATGCAGCCATCACACAGCACTGTCTACACCTCCCCAACACAAAACATGGCTTCACCTGTTCTCCACAGTCCCCCAGCTCCTGACAAAGGTCAAGGGAGAGAAGGGAGGCAGGAGCAAAAGTTGGAAATGATCCAGTTTCAAGTCAGACAAGTCTGGCTTCAAAGTCCTGCTCTGCCACTTGTTTGCCTGAACCTCAAACAAGCCATGGCTCTTTCCTGAAAGGCAGGTGCCTGTCTGTAAAACAGAGCTGCCAACACAATCTGCCTCACCATCATTAGTCCCATGCAACACCTATGGGCTCAGCTCTTACTTGGGGCTCACTGGCTGGGGTGTGGGTGACATCCCACTCTCTCTCATTTCCACTCACCCCTGCCCAGGCAGTCCAGGGCAGGCAGCCAGCAGGGCCCGGCCAGCAGGTGCACTTTCCCTCAGACTCAGAGTGGGAGGAAGGGAGGGAATGGTTTCTCACCATAAACACTGCACTCACCTAAAGGCCACCCCCCAAGTTCACTGCACAGGAATGGGGGTGGGGGAAGGGCTAGTTCTCTGAAGTGGTAGGGGGCTGGCCCCAGCTGCCTGGAATGTAGGGAAGTACCGCTGACCCTTGAACAACATAGGTTTGAACTGCACAGGTCCACTTATACAAGGATTTTTTCTTTTCAGTACTGTAAATGTATTTTCTTTTTCTTTTCTTTCTTTAAATAAATTGCAGGAAGATCCCAAATTTATTTTTTTGAAATCAATATATTTTTATTGATTTCAGAGTGGAAGGGAGAGGGAGAGAATGAAACATCAATTATGAGAGAGAACTATCAAATCAGCTGCCCTCTAATGGGGACCGAGCCCACAACCCGGGCATGTGCCCTTGACATCAATCAAACCTGGGACCAACCCTTCAGTCCACCAGCCGATGCTCTATCCACTGAACCAAACCAGCTAAAGCTAAATGTATTTTCTTAATACTATTTTCTTTTCTCTAGCTTACTTAATTGTAAGAATACAGTATGTAAATATATATAACATACAATGTTATATAACATAATGTCAATCAATTATGTTATTGGTAAGGCTTTTAGTCAACAGTAGGCTATTAGTAGAGTTTTTGGGGAGTCAAAAGTTATATATGAATTTTCAACTGCACGACAGATCCCCTGATCTCTCTTCAAGAGGGCCCCCTAATCCCCATGTTGTCCAAAGGTCACCTGTATTTTGTGTCGTTTATCCTCAGCTTTAGGCCTAGCCTGCAATTCTGGGAAAAGAGGAAAAATTCAACTCATCTCGTTAGACTCCAAGAACTGCAGACAATGATCATTTCAGATAATGGGGACACCAACCACATAGCCTGTCTGCAGGGTGGCGGCTACTTTAGCTAGGGTCGTTAGGGCAAACCTCCCCCAACCTGAGCTTAAGTGTGAGAAGGAAGCAGCCAGAAGAGCTGAGAAAAAGTCACTCTGGACAATGAGAAGAGCAAGTGCAAAGGCCCTGAGGCAGGAACAGGCCTAGTGTGCTCCGGGGAAATAAGGGCACCAGTATGGCAGAGCACAGCAAGCAAGAACACGAGCAGCAGAGATACCCACAGCGTGGATCATGCACAGGGAGAGATTTGAATTTTATTATCAGCATAGAGGGACTCAGAGTGGGAAGCAGCGAAGGGATGTGATTCAATGGATACGTTTAAAAGCCAATTGCCAGGATTAACTGAGACTGTTTATAGAAAGCACTCAGCCTAGCCTGACAGGCCAGGGCAGCTCAGATGTCCCAAGGGCATCTCAGTTAGTGCTCCTTGGGGTCCCCTGACCTGGCACCGGCTCTGAGGTATCTGGAGAGTGACAGGGTGGGTCAATGCTTGACCAGTCCTGCAGAGGGGCCGGAGTACCCCTTCCCACGAGAGAGGTGCAGCCACGGGAGGCCCCCACTGAGGCTCTCCCACAGACCCACACAGTCTCTCACTGTGGCTACTCTGACAGACCTTCTTCCCCTTCTGTGCTGTGCTGCTGCTTCCCACCCAGAAAGCCCCTTCCAGTGACCCTCACACCCCTTTTCCTCACAATCACTGTGTCTGTTTTTGAGAATTCAGGCTACCTGATGGAAAGCAAATATTTCTTAAAAAGAAAAAACAAAAACATACATGGAAATGAGTGACCTCTATTTCCCCAAAATATTATCTTGCTATGTCGGGGACACCTCTGTCCAGCTCCCCATCCTGTCATGATGACCACCTCTGTCCAAAGTACACTGTCCTGGGTCTGCCAAGGGCAAGTTCACATCAGACTCTGATGAGACATGATGTATTAGGGGCTTCCTTCAGCGGTTGCAGGCCCACAGCCCCAACAGAGAACTCCCCAATCTGTGCTCACAGAAGGAGGTAAGGGGCCATCTGGGGTGGGAGGAGCCAGGCCTCCCTGAACCTACTTGCTATGCATGCAGCCCTCCAATATTTCTGATCAGGACCAGGGCAGGAGGAAAAGTGGACACAGAAGGAAGGGCAAGACCTTATTGTGGACAGTGGGGTGGGAGACATCAGGACCAAGCAGTTGGGGTTTAGCAGGACCTCTCCCACCCTATCTTCAGGGACTGCCAAACACAAATCCCACAGCTGCTGGTTGTCAGGCGATTTAGCTTTGCATTTCTATCTCTAATTCTAAGGACAACCCCACGGCATGGGGATTTGCTTCACCTTATAGAGGAGGAAACTGGGATATAGAGGTACCTGTGGGGTCCCCAAGTACAGAGAGAACTATCCCTGATGTGTCAGTCTCCAGAACACTCACAGTAAACCCACAGTGCCTAAGACCCCTCTCCCATGTGGGACAGTCAGCCCCATCCATGCTCCCTCTTCAGCAAGCTCAGGGCTGGCTTCTCAATACCACCTGCTGTCCAGGTCTGATGAGTCATAAGATCTCTATGTTTATCAACTCTTAAGTGGGGAACATGATTTTCCCAAACAATTGGATTTGAAAACAAATTTACTTTCATGTGACAAACAGAGACCCTCACATTAAGCCTGGGCGTTCCATCTTAACCACCAACCAACATGGGCACTACACCTTCCATTCACACACCTTTCCTGGGGGGCCCAGTACCCCATCATGACTCCCCTTGTCCCAAATTTTTATTGATTTGACAAACATATTGAGTTGCCTTTTCTGTGCCGGGTCCTGAGCAGGACACTGGGGACAAGAGAGTAAAAGATGGCTCTCCAGGAGAGTAATGATCACAGCCCAAGCAGGAAGTGCTGTGAGGCCAGGCAGGGCCCTGGAAGACCACCAAGGCAGGACACTGACTCCACGTGAGCACTGAAGAAGGAGCAATGGTATCCCAAGTGTACCATAAAGATGGGGAGTATACCATTCAATGCGAAGGTAGAGAATGGGTGCATGAGGGAGGGCACAGCAAGTTGGGGAGCCTAAGGCAGGCAGTGGCTGAAGATGGGATAAGAGGGGGGCTGGTGGTCTTTCGAGCCAGCTGCACTAGAATATTGGATGTCATCCTCCACATTAAGGAGCTGGAGGAGAGCCTAAGCAACAGTGCATTTTAGAAAAATCCCCCTGGTGGTTCAGGAGGAAGGAGGGCAGAGTCCAGAAGAGGATGCATGAGGAAGGCAGAGTCAAGCCTGGCCAGGGAAAATGGAGAAGATGGGGTGGACCCAAGAGACTGCCCAGGGGTTGGATTCTACCAGACGAGGTGACCAATGGTGGGGGGCAGCACCCAAGCACTGAACAGAGAATTTTGGCTCAGAGGTAGGGTTTTGGTGGGACAGAGGTAGCACTCCATTTTGAAGTTGAAAGTACCTCTCAAGCAAATGCCAGAGCAGCTCAGTTTGGAGGCAGAACCCTGGGCTGCTGTGCCAAGGTCCTGCCCAGACACCCAGCCCTCAGCCCAGAGGCCCACGCTGGCTCGTGAACTTCTCACCCAGTTGACCTCAAAGACAGCCCCCCCCCCCACACATACACACCAGGACTCTTCCAAAGTGCCAAATGTGGTGCCACTGGGCAAGAGGCACCTTTGTGCAGAGTGAGGTTGGCACTCCCAGGACTCCTACCCACTCCTACTGCCCCCTACCCAGCCCGGGCCTAATCACCACCTCACCTTGGCTGCCAGAACAGCTCACAGTTGAAGGACCCAGGGCTCGGCCTGTTTGGGCCTTAGTCACTGTACCACAGGACAGGGTGGACGCTCTGTGGGTGTCAGCTGCTGTGTCTCAGTTCTTCCTCTCTAAGTCTGAGCAATCTTATATCCGTTTCCCAAGAGTGGAACCAGAAAACAAAGAACTAAGAGGAAGGAGGCTGCAGCTCCAGCCTGACAGATGACTGGGCAAGGACAGAAAGGAGGGGCAATAAGGTGCTCTGTTCTGGCCTGAAGAGTTCCATGTGAAAAATGCACACTCCTCTGTATCCCCAGAGCAGGATTCGGAACATTTGTTCTCTGGGTAGTCCCTCTATCTATCTTTTAAAAAAAAAAAATTTCAGGGAGGAAGGGAGAAGAAGAGAGAGATAGAAATATCAATGATGAGAGAGAATCATCTATCGGCTGCCTCCTGCATGCCCCCCACTGTGGATTGAGCCCACAAACTGGGCATGTGCCCTGAGGAATCGAACTTTTAAAAAAAAAAAATTTCAGGGAGGAAGGGAGAAGAAGAGAGAGATAGAAATATCAATGATGAGAGAGAATCATCTATCGGCTGCCTCCTGCATGCCCCCCACTGTGGATTGAGCCCACAAACTGGGCATGTGCCCTGACCGGGAATCGAACTGTGACCTCTTGGTTCATAGGTCGATGCTCAACCACTGAGCCATGCTGGCCAGAGGGTAGTCCCTCTATTTTAGAAACCATCAATCCCCAGTGAGGTGGAGCTTGTAGAGGCAGAGCTAGCCACGACAGAGCAGAATGACTGAGTCCTGCGACACCAACTTGGCATCAGGGGACAGGCATGCAAAGGTGACAGCACCTCACTCCAGCCCTCAGGTGTGCGAGGTCTGAGGATAGGAAAGACACAGCAATTACAGGGCATGTTCACTACCTGATAAGGAGACGCTCAGAGTGCCAGTGATGGGGCAGGTGG